TATAAACTAAATAAATGTTTTCAACCAACTAATACTACTTAGAACTCAATACAAGAACATGAACATATAAAAGATAGAAATGACCTGATATAAGTGTTTTGTAAGCCTGTACTGCAATTCCTTCTATGTTCTAGTTTCCCTCAGCATGTATCACCTGGACAGTCACGCCAGTGAACCGAACATCAACTCAAAATAAGCACAGATATGCAATGTGTATAAAATAGTTATAACTGCATCTGAAATACAAGGTTAATATGATAACAGTATGCATAACCATCTTAAGGCCATCTTAAAGCTATCTGTTACATTGTTAAAGCAATGATCATACTGCAGATTATATTATGCTGGTAAAATACTTTTGTTCATCCCCACAATCCCCCTTTCGACCTCTGGCAAACCATCACAAATGTAAATCTTCAATAAAGATTTACATTTGTTGGAGCCATTTAGTCTCTCAGCATTAATCCAAGACAGGATTTTACTTCAGTCATCAGGACACGATAAATTCATAGATGAGGTAGAGTTAGGAATGTCGTCCAGTTTATAGACATGAAGCACAGCAAAAAGATTCATGTTCAGTATATTTTAGTACATTTTACCTACTTCATACTAAAACATTATTTAGATAATAGTACAGTTTGTCACATGTGTAGCGTGCCAGCAATGCAGTTCTTCAAGCTAAAGAAAACCTGTTCCACTTCTGTGGACTTGTTTTTGTCAATAGTTTTGAAGTATTTGCGTGTCAAACATTTTTTGCAGCTCATGATTCTTCAGGTTCATTTTAGTCATCTATGGCTCCAGTTCATGACCTCAATAGGTTCATAACTTTTTAATATTTTGGAGAATAATAACCTATTAAAGAATCTGTGTAACCTAAACTGTGATGAAAGTCAGAATGAAGACTCGTTCCATGATGCCATGATGGAGTTTCACCACTTTTAGTGGGTTGAAGTGTGTAGATTGTGAAAACTTTCATGAAAGTTACCTGTTTTAGAAAAACTCCTGTTTATGATGCAGCATATTTCAACAGCATGTGAATGATTTATAAATGACAAACTAAATATAACTTTTAAGAAAGGAAAGCTTTACAGAGCTTATGTATTACGATGGATGGACCTTAACACTGAACCGAGTTGTTGTTGAAGATGTAATCTATACCTTAGCACAACATGCTTAATTATTACAAAGAATAATGTAAATTTAATGGAATGGTTTTTATATAGTGCTTTTGTACTCTGAGCACTCAAAGCATATGTATATTATTTTCTAAATTATGTGTGAATACCACATGGTAAAGAAAAATATAATGACATTATAGAGGGAATCATTATTGCATTTGGCTTGAGATGATAAAGAGTTATAAATTTATATTTGCTTTACATTTTTGTGTATTTGTTTTGCAGGTTCTGAGAGTCATCAGGAAAATTAAATCTGTCTGTTGTCCAAGGAGAAAAGCACCGTTATGCCACCAGTACAGGTTCGGAAATTTCACTAAATATGTCGTTTCTGTTTAATCTAGATTATGTCAAAGAGTCTCATCTCATCAAATGTGCTGCAATAGTTACCAAAAAACTATTGATGTCAAAGTTTTTCTTTCTTGTGATGATAAGAAACCACAGCCCGGGGACCTGATTGAGATCTCTCGTGGCCTGTATGCGCACTGGGCTGTGTATGTTGGTGATGACTTTGTTGTTCACTTTGGAGTGCCAGGTAAGTCTTTCACACAGCTGACTCACCTTACTCCTCCATATTCTTACTCTGAGTGGAAGAAAATGTAATTTATCTGACAGCCTGTATTTGACATGCAGTTTTCAGACAGTAGCTTCTTGTTTAGTACAAACTAGTTAAATTACCGTACTAAAGAGAAAAATCTGATGGGATTAGTATATAAACTGTCTGCAAATGATCCAGTTTTTTCCTCTTTGATATTTTTGACCTTAAAGCTGCAGACCTTAGTCCAGGCTCCAAGGCAGTGTCTTCCCAAACTGTGGAGGGCCGTGTGATGAAGGAGAAGCTGGAGTCTGTAGCTGGAAAAGACAAGTGGCAAGTCAAGAACAGTTTGGATGGGAAGTATAAACCCCGTCTAGCTAAGGAGATTGTGAAGGATGCCCTTGCATCGGTTGGCAAAGCGCGGAAGTACAACCTCAAAGAGAGTAACTGTGAACACTTTGCCAATGAGATGCGTTACGGTGTAGCCGTGTCTCAGCAGGTGGGTTGAACTGCCTCTGTCCTTTTTACAGGTCTGATAGAGCACAAGCACAAAATGACAATACTATGATTTCAGATGTAGGTCTGCAATGCCACTCACAAAGCTACATGCTGTTGTAAATCAAGTGTTACTGTTAAAAAAAACACAAAAAGAAATTAAACACACAAACAAACAAACAAAAAACCTTTTGCTTTCCTAATACTGTGGCAGCACAAAGTGGTGGGAATGATAAGTAAAAGACCAAATAACCAATAATGTTGCACGCACACACTGAAAATGGCAGTGCAGCGAGTGGAAGCTCAAAAGCTCTCTACAATTAAAGGGAAAAGCCGACAACGCCACCCTGGGAATTTCACCCAGACAATATTTAGTTTGAAACTATGCTAATTATCAAGAAGACACTTTGGTCTATTAGGCATGAGACAGAGATGAGGTTCAAGATAAAACGAACAATTTATTGACAGCTATTAACAAATGTCTCATAAAAGAGCCGATGAATCAGTCGTTCATGTACTGTAAAATTCAGACCTGTGGTTTACCAGTAGATGAATGGGATGCCAGATGAGGACAGGTCCAGAAAATCAGAAACTCATACATGCAACGCTCACACTATGGTGCAGCTCAAACCAGGGGCGCATAAATATTCACTGCACACAGAAGCTCCCACCACCCAGTCACCTCCACTTTAGGCGATCTGCTTATGAATAAATGAAACACAAGTTCTTAGCATATCCAAAACAAAACCCAGACCCACCGCTGTGGTTAACCCTGCTGCAGAAACACACTGGTGATCTGCAGCTAGACAATGGGCCTCCTCCCAGTGGTGTAACATAAAAATTAGGATCTACAAATCAAACATTCAAAAACCAAATGTACAAACAAAATAAATTAAATTGTCAGTTTAGAGCAGATAACTTCATAGTACTATTACGAATTGTTAAACATACAACTGTTATAGATAAGATAAGATAAGATAAGATAAGATAAGATAAGATAAGATAAGATAAGATAAAACTTTATTAATCCCTCGGGTGGGTTCCTCTGGGAATTGAAGGCATTAAAATGCACATTAACAGTCTTTCATATATTGCACAGACGGCTCAAATGCTATTCTAAAAACCAGAGCGTTGCAGGCAAAGCAAACAAGAGGGCCAAATAAGGCAACAAGGCAAAGCTTAAAAACTTCAACAACAAAAAAACTCAAAAGTGGATGCAAAACGGCAAATCAGCAGCACTTCTGTAAACGTAGCCCAGAGAAGCAGGAGCAGCTCCACTATAAAGCTATCAGCCACCCACTCAGGCCCAGACTTCCTGTAATGCATCATAAAAGTAGCAAAAAGACAATTATGACAGAAGTAATGCTAAGATCGTAACAAATGAAAATTACATACTATTCAAACGGCGTTGCCCAATTGACAAGCAAAGGGGTCAATAGGAGGCTTCTGCAGCTACAACCTATAAACACCTGTTTACTACCAGGTAAAATAATAAGCATACAGCATACAAAATAAAAACATACCAGCAATCGGTAGAAGGCTTCAGAGGAAACAGTCCGTAGGTAATCTCTGCAAAAACAGGAGTAACACAATAAACAAAAGTGGAGCCAATTCAGGCCGAGGCAGCAGCGACATGTACGTGACTCCTACCTGTAACAGCTACGGAAGTCAGTCCGAAGGTTTGGATGTGTACTGCAACAGGTCAGAGATGCTCATATGGCAGCTACTATTTATAGTAGCACCATATAATGTGACTGGCTACTAACAGTGATTAACAAAGCAATATGAATATATAATATTCATTTTGCTACAATAGCAATAATCTCTTCAGAAATTCTTGCTTCTATGCATCTATGATGCAGTTTCTGTCATCATACTGAATGATTCTGGACTGGAGATACAATCCTAATGTTTCCCATGTTTGCTGGGTTATAAATGTAAATTCTTGTGTTAACTTAAGGAGTTCAAAATAGTGTAAAAATGTATTATTCTAAAAAATATGAATAGAGTTTAAATGCCTCTGATTATGTTCGTGGGACCCAAACTAAAGCAATTATGTTTCCCTTGCAGGTGCAGAAGGTAGATGAAGCAGCAGCAGCAGCAGCAGCAACAGCAACAGCACTACCTGTTGGTATTTTTGGGAGTCTGGTTATTGGTGTTAGTGCTTTGGCACGAGCTGCAGTTAAAGCCAGCACAAACTAACTGGAACTTAAAGCAAAAAAAAGTAAAGACTAACTCAGAAAATCATTTTGACTTACTGATCACAAAGAAATCACAAACCTAATCTGATCTTTTTACTCGAATCTGTCCCTGTCCATTTTTAATGCCAAGCAAGCTGATTTCTCAGCTAACTTCCCATCATTTGTTCTAAGTTTTATTTAAAATACATCAGAAATATTTGTTATGGAAATCATGTGGGTGATTCCTTCCTTGTGTCCTCACCTTCAGCTCTGACATTCCATTCTTCTTTTTTGGTTTTAAATACAATGTAAGGCTGCGTGTTTACACTGATCAGCCTCTCTGTAACAACACTGCCTTTTCTAATAATAAATTCATACATTTAAATGTTGCTGTGTGTTCTGAAAAGGCACTACAGTCTGAAAACTAAAAATAGCCTAAATAACACTTAATGTGGTCATCATTACCACACTATTAAATATCTAAGTGCCCAAGTAAAGTCAATCATATAAATGTTAATAAAAAACAACAAGCAAATATTTGATATTTGTGTCTTCACCTGCTGTTTCTGCATGAATATTCCTACTCCCCCCCCCAATGCTTACCATGATGCAACTGATATATTTAGTCTTCCTCTGACATCATTATTCTTGAATGATTTAAATAAAGAATAATTTGGGTTGTTTGGATGTCAGTCTGTTTTTTATTCAGACAAACTCCCTTCATTAGCGAACCCTCTGCAAAATTCCTACACTGAAAGAATTTCCCGAGAAGTACAAATGTTTAATTTATCAATAATATTTGAAAAGGGGAAAAGAGTTGCACTATATTTTTCATATTACTGTATCGATACAGTATCACCATGAAAACTGAGAGCACACCTGCAGCTGAACTGCCTGTCCAGCCAAGAACACCTTGGTTTATTTCATTACAACTGAAAGCAAGCTATAATGAGTTCTTTATTTTTGGAAAATGGATTCATTAGAGGTATAAATATTATTTCTTTGTTATTTTTCAATCTGTGGTTTTCTTACTTACATTTTTTATGATTTGGTGTAATAATAAAAACAAAGGTAAAAAAATCAGATGAAACAGACATCCTGACTTCCTTATACAATACTGCAGCTCCTCTCTTGGCACCCTGTTAAATATACTTTCTCATGCAGTGCTGACTACAAACATGGCTGATATGACAGGTCTTCCTAAGAGCTCCCCTTGTGGAATAATTATACTATTATTATATGTGTGTATACTTATAACCCCACCCCAGCAGAGAAGCCTCCTATTTTGAAGTTCTATTTAAACTCAACCTCAACATCAGTGTTTGCTGTCAGATTTTTTTTTTTATCTTCTTGAACCCATATTAGTTTTGTTTTGTTTTTTAATTTAACTTTTCAGGGTTCAATTATTCTTAGATATGATCACACTGGTTTCAGTTGACCAAATTTTACATCTGATATTTTAAGTTATCATTTTTTAAATTCATCAGACAGTGCAGAGATGCAGGGAGAGTAGGGGAACACACACACAGACTGTAAATCATTTAAACCAAAACAGCTTGAGTAGTCACATTTCTATACAGTTTCTATATTTGCTTTCGACATTAACTCCTTGACAGACTGTTTCTGATCATCACATGATTTCATTTGTAAACTGCTGCTAAAAACCTTTCAAAGCAACTCAGATTTTGTTTTTAACAAGTAGCAGTTTAAGACCTCCTGGCCTCACTCTGATTAATAATGATTGTTGATTAATAATAACTACAGTGAACATATAGTGTCTCACCCCACATTGCCTTTACAGCTTTGAAGTGTAATTTCTTCGTATATTCTCCAATTTTTAGCAGTTCTGGGCCAATCTCCTTTTCTATTTCTGATATTTCCTTTAACCATGACCATCATTCATTTGAAACCTTAGAAATTTAAGTTTCCACACCACTGAAACCATGAGATGATATTATGATGGTGTTACCCGAGTGGGTGAGTGCAGTTACACACCATTTTATGGATAATTCCATGAAAAAAAAAAACTCCCAAAAAGAGTTAAAGTGAAGCTAAATGATTTCAGAATGGATTATGTAAAAAAACAGCTTCATGTGGTTTTAGGTAAATAATAATACAATATTAATTTTATCACTTAGAGATTCTAAGTGATACTGAACTCTTAGTCTTTCCATAAAAAATTTAAAAAAAAGAAAAAAAAGAAATCTTCATCACCTGAAAGATTTAAAGAGCTGGAGTGATGTTAAACATCCAGTTTATGGATATGTAGGCCCCAGAATGTATGAGAATGATTTTGACACAGAAAGACAATCAGATGTGATTGATTTTGTTGTTTTTCAGCTTTTCAAGTTCATCTTTTTCTTTTTCTATAATTCTTTTAGTTTTCTTTTTCATTCAGCTCTTCGAGTAGTTTGTCTTTTTAATGTGAGCATTCTGTAGTTTGTTGTTTGGTATACTCTTTTACTCTTTGGTATATTTTTCCTGTTGTATTTCGTTTTCATGCTGTTCTTTTGCTTCAGATCCTCATTCTGTTTTTCTATGAGTCTTTAAAGTCTTTGGTGTATTTCACTCTGAAATTTTATGTCCTCCTGTTTATCATTTTTTTCATACTCTCCATTTTTCTCTTTTTTTCTTTTTTCTTTTTTTTTCCCAGTTTGATCTACTTTTCTTTTGTTTTCATGTTTCTCTATTTCCTGCTTAAAATCTTCTTGAAGCTTTGTAAGTATTTTTTTCCTCTTGTTTCTCCATTTCTTCTTTCATTTCTTTTTCTTTCTGACTTGAGACTTCTTGTAATAGATTGCATTCTCCAGTATGTTTTTTCTTTTGTTGTTGTATTTTATATTTTTTTTCATGTCCTCCATTTTTCTCTTGTAGCTTTCCTCTAATTCATTTTGTTCTTTTTCTTCAAGCTCTCTTCTGATTCGATCATCTTCTTTTGTTTTTTATATGTTTCTCTTCTGCTCCAATTCCTCTTGGAGCTTTTTCTGCTTTTCTTCCTCCTCCTGACATGTTTAATTTCCCTGTCCTGATTGTCCTGCACTTTTCTTTCTTTCTTGTCCCAGTGCTCTTGTTTTTCTTTTCTTTGTGTTCTCTTCAGTGAAGATGAGGAATGTTTCTTTGTTTTTTTGCACCACGTCTTCAGTCTTCTTCATTAACACTTTGAGGTCATTGGTAAACATGTTGTAGTGTCTTCCATCACAGTCCTGAAGGAGCGCGTTCACAGACACGCTTGTTTCTTCCCACTGATGTCTGTATGCGCTGATGTCATTTAACCCAATGTGCTGCTTAAAATGATATTAGTAACATGTATAAAAGAGGATTTACTTTTTCTGCTCTTAAGAAGGTGAGTGCCAGCTACATACAGGGCTCAAGGACAACCAAAAAGCCTGGAGCGACGCAACCTCGTCCACATTTGGCTTCTACAGGCTAACCCACTAGCAGGTGAACATAGGGAGCTAGGTGCGCTCCCTTGGGATCCAACCAGCACTGTGTTTCCAGCCTGCCAGGCCGCTGCTTAGCACCACTCGCCACAGCGGCCAATCAGGGCAAATTTGTTGTATTTAAAGTGCTGACTGAGCATGGCTGCAACACCCTGTCGCATGGGGATGCCACCTTTGCTTTGTGCCATCTTTCACCAACATGGGCCACAGGCTCTGCCTGTGATGGCAAAATCAGCACAGACAGCCCCGCCTAACTCAAGACCTGCCAAGTGATGTATTGACCTTTGTCATTAGCCACATGACAGGCAGCAGAACTAAGGCTGGGAAGACAGACCAGCAGAGTATTTACATGAAACATTGTTATGATTTGATGTTTGTCTGTTTTGTCTTTTGATTTTTGTTCTGATTTGTTAGTAATAAAATTGAGCAAAGTCCGAGAGGTAATGTTTTTTGATGATATAAGAAGGTAGCGAGGTGAGAAATGAAAGAGTAAGAGTATAATAGAAAGTGCATTGTAAAGTGGAGTTGAGTGAATTGTATGAGTGTGCAAAAAAGCAAAGTGTTTCGCTTGGGTTTGAATTGCAGTGGGCTGGGGCGAAAAACGAGAGCAGGATTCAAGTACGGAGCAAGGTAGAGGTTTACACAATGCAACGCTTTGCAGGCTGTGGATGAAAAACTGAGGAGGCACATAACCACATGTGCACCAGCTGATTGGAAACTTCAACCTCGGTATTTGAAACCTGCCCTGTAACCCATCAAATGGCGGCAAATTTGGTCCATTTAAAGTGCACATTCTTTCTTGTTGAAATGAGCAAATTTGAAATGATTTGCAGACAGTGAAAGTGTTACAGCTGCAGAGAGCTATGCTGCTATCTTTGGAAGCTGTTTACATAGCAAATAACATGTATGTACATAACATATATGTACATACCTGTATATGTTGCCATGGAGACACAGTCAGGTTAGCTGGCAGTGCACGTTGAGTCAATGAGGTGATTGTGCGCACAGTGTCATCATGATCATGATGATGTTGAGTTATAAAGCACTTTAAAACAAGCACAGCTGACACGTCCCCACCTGCAGACAGCAGGGAGCGTGCAGCAGCAGGGAGCGCGGGTGTGCGCTTTAAATATAGCAGAATTGCCTGGGAACAGGGCAATTCTTCAATTTTTCACACACAACTTCGCTTCAATCTCTCAATCTGTTCTTCATGTCCCAACAAACGCTCCTAACTCACTCATTTTCCGCTCCATCCACACAATTTAGACATCAAAACATACCTATTTTCCTCATTGCCATTAGTTAGTTTTCCTTTGTAGATAGTTTTCGAGTTACACAAGGTTTTTAACAGGAAGAAACGGTGGTTTTAACTTCTCATTGTACACGAAAAATTTAAGTTGCGTTCATAGAGCCGGCGGTAGCCCACGTTTAGCTCAGAGAGTCCTGGTTCAAAACCTCCCAGCAGCAGTATGTTTTGAGCAGACACCTCAGCTTTTTTTGCCCCTTTTCAGCAGACCATTTGCAGCTACACGGCAGTCACTACTTTACATCCTTTCTTTTTTGGTGGATATACCAGTGCTTGCAGGTAAGACCCTTGAAATGCCCACTATTTATAGAGTGCCAGCCAGTGTCAGTAATGTTAATGTGCTTGTGTGGAGCAATGAGTGTATAATAGATGAAAGACACAACAGCACTTCCTCCCATTGTGCAAATGGTAA